AGATATATATATATATATATATATAGATATATATATATATATATGGAAACTACTACTTAATACTTGTACTACTATTCCTACTTCGCGGTTTTTCACTTATCGCGGGTCTTCAGGGTACGGATCCCCAGCGATAAACGAGGGACTACTGGAATCGGTTACAGAAAGTTGGACCTGACTGAACTGACATTTTACTTTGTACTTGCTTTAACATTTTTACACTATTGTATGTTAGGTTTTATGATTTGGGGAGGTTTTTTGGGTGGTTTTGTTGATGGTGTAAAACACTAATGCCTGAGTTGTCTAAACTTTCCAAATGTTTGCATCCATTATCTGCACAGCTGCAGAAAGAAAAGCTTTGCAGAGAGTGGTGAAGGCTGCACAGAAATCTGTTGGAATCAGTCTCCCCACCATCACAGACATCTACACCTCCAGATGCAGGAAGAGGGCCACCTGCATCATGAAGGACCCCACCCACCCAGCACACACACTTTTTGCCCCACTCCCCTCAGGAAGGAGGTTAAGGAGCATTAAGTGTAGAACCACTAGACTGAGGAACAGCTTCTACCCTGAGGCTGTTAGACTCATGAATCTCTAACTAGAATAATCACTGTGAAAAACCATATCATGTTGCTGCTGATCTGTTTCATGTTGCTGCTGATCTGTTTCAATGTTGATGTGTTCATGCGTGCACATCTGCTCACAGACTCATGTTCATGTTTGTGCTGATGTTCAATGTTTTTATGTTATGAGTGCTTAGTGTATATTTAGTTGATGTTTTTCTTAGTTCATATCTTAGATGTTATTACTGTTTTTCTTATACATTTTATTGTTGGATGTAACTGGGACCCTGTGTACATAATTTCGCTCCACCACATGTACCACATGAGGTGCGAATGACAATAAAGAAACTCTGACTCTGACTCTGATTTTGTTGTGATGGCAAAACTTTAACTGTCCATCAAAACACAGGATTTGTGTCTTCTTTCACTGGATCACTGCTTCAGGAGTTGTGGTTTTAATCAAACCCCCTCAGAACACAGAGAGGACAGATTGCAGTTTTATCTTAAAATATTATTTTAAAACAGGGACAGTAACTTTACAGGAACTGTTTGTTTGGTTTTTATACGCCCAGCAAAGGCGGGACGATTTACAGTATCGTCTCCCTCTGTTCGTACGTACGCGTGTTGACTTTCTAGTCCTGTTCATAACTTCTGATCTGCTCAAGATAATAAAAAAAAACTTCATGCACATATGCATCATCATGCATCAGTAGGTGTGTTGCATGCACTTCTTATCAATCCAGCTTCAAGGTCGAGATCACAAATAAAGGTCAAATGTTATACATGTTCTATGCTTGTCCAGACCCTCGCCATAGATTGCTGTATAGCAGTTTGTTGGCAGGTGTGTAGTATGTCATCTGGTAGTGTTTTTGTGTGCTTCCCTTAAGAGTGCTGTTAGGGAGTGACAGACATGTGAGTGGTTGCCATGGTGACACTGTGAGCTTTAATTTGGAGCTTTAACTTTAATGATTGCAGCAGCTTTAACTTGTTATAATATTAATTCTCTGTACTTTTACTATACAATCTGTACATCAAAACACAGATCTTTATGGAGTTGTACAAATGTGATAGGATTTTAGGTCATAGGCACTTTTCAAGTTTCCATCATAAATTTTATTGAAACATTGAAGTTTTAATTATACATCTGCACCATTTTATTTACAGATGATTTACAGCTCTTTGTGTTTCTGGAGTAACTCATTTCACGCCTTCTCAGTAGTTTTTAGTTTCATGAGAAACTGCAGGGATAACCGAGGAACCCTTCACACAGCAGAACGGCGAGACGTTTTATGAAACAGGAGACAGTGCTCTGTGATGGACAGCTTGTCACGCAGAACTTTGTCCGAGTGTTTTTGTTCGAGTGCTCCGACATGAGAACGATTCAGAACCGTTTTCTTCGCAGCATGCATTTACAGCTTAGTCATGTGTTGGCCGTGCTGGACCGACAGCTGTAGATAGTGTTACACATTTCCTACTGACAGCTCCGACCTGCTGGGGGCTCATCCATGTGGGGGAAGGATAAAACCCAAGGGGGTGATGTGGGTGAGGATCAAACTGAGGGAGTCAGAGAGGACAGACAGAAGCAGAAAGAACAGGAGGAGTGAGAATGAGATGGTTTTCAGACCGGTCGGACACTGAGGACGTCTAGACTTTCACTTGCTCAAGTTCAGAGGGGGTGCAGGCTGAGTGGGGGGGATCACACTGTTGAGACTCAGCTGAAGGGTTTCAGGGTTTAGACACTGAGGAGGGTATTAGCTTTCACACACTGCTGGGGTAACGGGGGAGTCTGCCAGATGTCAGCTCCTCACCCATAAATCCTGCTAAATGGGCAGCAGCTCCGCCTGCAGAGGACGGCTGAGTGGACGTCAGGCCTCTGTCCCTCTCTGTGCTGTTTGTCAAAACTCACTCCAGGCCCACAAACACTTGGTTTCACTCAGCTGACGGCCATTCGTCATCCCCTGCTACTTCTCATCGGGCAGATGGCTTTCTTATGCGAGACTGTTCCTGATTATTTCAATTTCCTGCGTCGAATCAGCCGAATCAGAGCCGAAACTCACATTTAGTGGAGTTCACCGTTAGTTTGTCCAGGTTAGGGTGTAAATCAGCACAGAAAGAAGGGTCAAGTGTACAAAAATAAAAAAAATGTGTTGGAAGGATAAAAAAAATTGTTTAATATTGGTGAAGCTTCGTGCTTTGCTGCTTGTTTTTTAGAAGACGTTTTTCTTGCTTTCTCAAATAAAATTGAAAAATGCCAAGTTTTTTAATGTTGCTTCAGAATGCAAGCTAAACTCACATGCAAGTCACACTCCCTTCCCTCCCTCCTGAGGGTCATTGACCTGTGTTATGATTGTTGAGCAGTTTTGTCAGTCCACCTTTAAAAATGAAACAGTTTCAGATTAATTTGATTTGCTCTATAGGTTTTAAATCTACTTCGGTCAAAAAAAAAACCTTAAACGTTAAATTATGTGAAAAAGACGTGACACAACAATCCCCTGGTCGCCTTATTTTAGCTTCTCTGACAGAAAGTAATAATTGCATATGGACTGTAGTGAAGAGCAGTTTTTAGAAACCACGTTAAGCTTTGAAGCCAGCTGCTCAAGTAAAACCAAACCCAACAGAAGAATATTACATCATGCTTCCCCCCTAAAGTGTCTTCAAAACAGGTCACACTTTCACCGTCCCACAGGGCCAGCGGGGGTTTTATGCACAGTCACTAATCTCAGATTAGACTTTACCATTAAACTTACCCAAATCACCACCTGTGATCTGGGATCAACCTGTTCTTTCTGTTTTATTAACTCTAAACAGAACGGTTTCTATAAAAGATCATTTTGATTTGTCTTTTTTTTCTTATGTGGAGGTTTTCAGCTCACCATTTTCCTCTGGTTGCTGAGGCAGAAGGTACAGATGTGTTTGGGCTGAGACGATTGGTCGGATCCTCGACTGGGGGAGGAGCTGACGTGGAAGAACGGCGGCGAGGGAGCGTGGCACGGCTGTCCGTCGTGAAGCCCTTCGCCCAGAAGCAACACATTCCCCAGATGACTGATGTAGCTGCTGGCCAAGCGTAGCGTCTCGATCTTCGACAGCTTCCTGCAATCATAAAAAGACAGGTGTTGGACACGGTTGTTGGTAAACCTGTGGTGGAACATGTTTTCTTTGACATCTTTAGAGAAGACAAAGTGAACTGTGACGCACGAGACTAAACGACACGTGTACCTGTCTGCAGGCTCGGTGGGGATGAGCGTCCGCAGAGCTGTGAATGCAGTGTTGACCGAGTTGGTGCGATCTCTCTCCCGTGCGTTAGCTGCGGTCCTCTGCCGAACTTCTCCAGGGGGCGACGACCCCGGGGGGCCCAGCCTTGCCCCCATGCTGGCTATGTCCACCCCTCCACTCCCACACATCTTCCTCTTCCTGTTCATCTTGATGTGGAAGGCAGACTGGGATGACGAGGACAGACGGAAGGATGCAGAGTTGGTGGTGTGCTCTTCAGAGCCCGACCCTTCGCTGCCGTTCTCATCCTCATCTTCTGAAAGGAGGGCGATGTCGCCATACAAGAAGCGTCCTGCGGGAGGCACCGTGCGTAGCATGGCAAAGGTCATCTTTGGTGTGACAGCTACTGTTCGCTCCTTTGGAAAACTCTGCCCGTTGTTGGGATTCTGCTGACGATGTTTGGTAGCAACTCCCAACTCTGGATGTCCACTCGGGGTGTTTACCAAGAGAACCAAATGTTTTCCTCGTGGATCTTGCTCACTAAGACTAAAGCATCAGTGAGCTGATGTTAAAGTCAAGACTTCAGATCTGCAGTCACAGGTGGTTGCCAGTTCCAGGTTCTTGATGTTCTCAGATGAGCTTTACTCAAACATCCCCAAGATCTGCTAATTATTCACTTCTCCTTGAGGAAACGAACCAATTGTAGAGTGGCACATTAAAGTCAAGATATGAGCATTGATTTGTTGCTTCCCTGAACGTCGTCACTTGTTTTTATTGTTGCTGTTTCACTCCAGGCTGAACTAAGAAAAGCAGCTCATTGCCGGTAGCTTCATGCTCTTTTGAGTTCTGTTGGTCTCCTCCCTTGTCCTTCTTTTCCTCTGCCTCTTGGCTCCACGTGTGCGTGCGGTCTGAGTGTTTAAGTCCGCCTCTGGTCTTATATTCAGTGGGAGGGTTGAAGGACCGATGCGCCCCTCCTCCTCTGAGCGGTAAGAGTCCCAGGGCTGCTGTCTAAAATCAGGCCAGAGAGACTGGAGGCCAGATGCAAACCATCGGCCGGAGTTTGTTTTGGCTGCGTGCCGCTGTGGTCCAGGGGAAATCCACCCCCTAAACAGTACTTGCATCACCCTCTGAGCTCTCTGCAACTCACAATCCAATCAACATGAAAATGGTTCACAGACAGACAGGATAAAAAGATGTCATCTACAACAGGACGGCCAGTGAAGGCTGAAACAATGAAGGCTGAAACAGTGAAGGCTGAAACAATGAAGGATGAAACAGTGAAGGCTGAAACAGTGGAAGCAAAACGGTTTTCATTCGAGTAAATTCCTTCAAAGATGCAAACAAGTTAAATTAACAAAAAGATTATATATATATATATATATATATATATATATAAAGAGAGAGAGTTTCTACACTCTAACTTGTGTTTGCAGTTTGTAACTTCCCCGTAACTGAAAAGGACAAAAAGATTTATGCTTTTCATTTCATGACTAAGACAAACTCGTGTCGTAAAGTGAAAGCTTGCCTTGCTGTTTACTTTTCCTGCTTCTCCCTCTGTGTTTGTGTGGACACACAGACAACCAGGGGCAGCCAGGCCAGTCAGACGGAGCTCGTGAATGAAATCTGGATTTATTCAGCTGCAGCCGAAGCTTCGTGACTGTCACAAGCTAGAGGGCCTGAAGTAGCCGACAGGAAAGGATTCAGACACCTAAAGGTTTTGGTGATGATAATTTAATCTCTCATTCACTCACTTTCATTTCTTTAAACCATCGGTCTTCCTCAGGATGAGAAAGGTGAATGAGACTAGAACTGGTTTGTTAATGAGTCAACCGGGTTAAAGATCTGAATCCTCAAACTGAATCAGGACTGAGTCTCAATTAACCGGATGCAACGTGTCCTCTGGCAGACCGACTGTAAGTGTGCGATTTAATGAACTTGCCAAAATAATGACTACAAGCTGAACACTCTACAACTCTGCTGACTGAAGCGTCAGGTCTCTGATTCAGATTAAAAACTCACCTGGAAAACAAGAGACTGAAGTGAGGTGTGTTTACATACGTTTCACAACAAGACAGATTTAACTCAAGTGAACATTTTGGTTAACTTATATTTGAGTTGCACAGTATAGGTGCTTGTTTAATCTGTCGTAGGTTGTTTGATTATTGATTATTATTAGATTATTATTGTGCGCTGAATTGTAACAATTTTTGAATAACAGAAATCCACCACCACAGTTTGAACCGGACCACTTCAGTGAGTGACTCAGATTCAACAGAGTCCACAAAGAGAACTGGATTTAATCTGACTGAGACTGAAGAAAACAATGGAGAAAGACAAGAGAAGTAACGATGGACATTAATGTTTAAAAGTCCTTTGACTGCATAGTTTTAGTTTCAAATGATTAAATCTTTATCTTGTAAAATCTTGATTTCATTTTAGTGTTTGTGTTTGTTAGCAAAATATCTCATTACCCACTGGACAAATGTTATTGAAACACTCTGAAAATAATCACATGATGTGCACCTACAAATGATTAGTCCAATGAAGTTAAGTCAGGTCCTCTGGACAGTTTCTTTTAGTTGAAACGCTTCGTCTTTCGTCTTTGATGTTTGGAAACATTTTGGCCATGGCTGCCTCAGACGTGTCGATGGGGAAGAGGGCGGACTACAGAAATGATCTTATCCCCATCAAACTGGCTAACCCACTATGTGAAGGTGCTATTTATAAGACTGAGTTTGTTGTGGCTCCTCAGACTGATGAAGTCCTTTGGATGAAAGATGAAACATTTCAACAAAAAGAAACCGCCCAAGGACCTGACTTAACGTTGTTGGAGTTTTTACCTGGATCAATGCGCATGAACTTTGATGATTAACTTTTGGAGACAAACAGATTTAAAATGATTTACCATCTAATTAATCATAGCAATCACAAAAGTGGCTATAACTCAGTTGACCAGATATTGAGCTAAAGTCAGTTGTGGTAGTAGCTGAGGGTCATTCTGAGGGCTAACAGATCAGATCAGATGTTTGTTATAGACTTTATGAAGGAAGCAGGCAACACTGAATGCTAGTTTTATTGTGTAATGTTACAGTTTTTCTACGTAAATTAAATGTCCAGGTTGAAAACAGACATAAATCTCAAAGTCAGTGGTGCCGCAGAGAAACCTTTAAACCTAGCTGCTGTTCATCTTCGTGTAGTGTGGCAGCAGCTGCTGCTGAGAACTACCATCACAATGAATAATCCGTCAGTTACACAATATTACAGTCAGCATTCATCACTCTCACTTTCTGCCCTGTTTTTCCTCTCGCGTCCACATTTCTCCCTGCGTCTACCCTTCAGTCCCAGTCATTGTGTTTGTGCTGTGGTATTCAGCGATGAAGCAGCAGCCAAAGATGGTTGCGGTGGTTGACTTCACTACAAACAGAGCTCGAAGCTCCGAGGACGGAGGAAGAGACGGACGGTAGCTGTGGGGCACAAACCTCTGCTTTGCAATGAAAACAAACTGCAGAGGGAAGGTTTTTTTTTAGGCGCTCCTTGTTTGAATTTAAGATTAAATAAATGGAAAAGCATCAGTGTTTGGGCCATTTAATTAGACCAATTTAAAGAATATAAAAAGAAGTAAATAGATTATTCTCCCCCATCATGGAGTGAAGAGGGGGAATTGGAAATACCATCTATCTGTCTATCTGTGCATGTTGTGAAAATGATAACTTGAAAAATAAGTGAGGTAACAACTTCCATTTTGGTGTGTGGCTTCATCTAGACACAAGAAAGTTTCCTCTTCAAAATTACGTCAAAATCCAAGATGGCCACCACCATAACCGACCACCTCTATCATTTCAGGAAACTGCTTTTTAATCTTTATATTGCTTTAATGCAGGGGTTCCCAAACTTTTCCATGCCATGGCCCCACAAACAGCATTAGCTTCTGCCCGAGGCCCCCCTCACAAACCCACAAACAATGCTACAAAATATGTAAAGAAACATCAAATGTTTTAACTTTTATTCACTGTATTCTATTCATTATTACAGCTGCTGAGCATCAAAATGTTATTAACTAACATGTTTGAAACACTGAATTATATTCCCACTGGAAAAAAAACAACTTTTCAACTAACTGATGACCAGAAGAACAAAAGAAATCTAACCATCTCTCTCAAGCATATTCTGGAAATGACAGCTACAGATCGCCCTAGTAGGCAATTTTTATTATTAGTAGTACTATTTTTACTTTTTTAATATTCTTCTCTCCAGCTTTCTGGTGCCCCCCCTAGCGCCCCCTGGCGGTCCCCACTTTGAAAAACACTGCTTTAATGTATAGTTTCCTTAAATGATTGGTGTGGCTGAAGATTAATCTATGGTGGGCAAGGCCACCACTGGCCACCCCCTGGCTCCACCATTGCTCCTGACGGTGGATAAAATTGCTCCCTCCACTCTCTCCTGGAGGAAAAAAAAAAAGAACCCTGTCCTTCTACACAGTGTAACTACTGACCACTTGAACATCTTTAAGGATTACAGTACTTACATTCCCTGTTCAGTTCTAGTCTAGAAAAACATTCATCTTGAAAACATTGCATACAAACATTCATTTTTCAAACCCCTCAGCGATGGAGTCCCGCTTGTTATATGATTAATCCCTCTCTCTGTCCAAGCGGAACACCACATTTAACACATCACTTGGACACTTCTCGTCTGTACATGTCTGGCTCCTCACAACACTAAAAAGTCTTGTTCCAGACCACCGCGCTCCATTGTTGCATGCATTAGCCTGAGCCTCCTCTCATTTGCATCTCCCCACAGAGTGTCAGGCCGAACACAGCGTCCACATCACTCTGAAGTGCTGCCTGCAGGCCAGAACCCACCTAACTGGAAACAACGTGGCTTAGGAATCTTTGTAGAATCGCATGGCTACAGTCGACCAAAGACTGTTGTAAGAACAGGAAAGAGCCGTATTACAGGAAAATAATAGTATCGTTTACATCAAAATGTTGACTCGCATCCAAGACATGGTCTGGATTTTACATGATGATTTAGAACATGCCTCTTTAGGGAAGTGTTGGCTGTCAGTCACTTTGTGAAATGAGAAATCCTGAGTGCAGTTAACACTATGGAAGTAAATTTGCTTCACTTTATAAAAAAAATGTCCTTACTAATAACATGTCAGTCTGACAATGATATCATGGTTTTGTTCGTTTTTTAGTAGAGATTGTACAGAATGATACATTAATGGTGAGTTTTGTTGAACTGATGAAGGACATCCGATTGAAAGTTTTTGTTTCAAAACTAAAATATTTCATGTTTTATCATTTTATTTTTTGTTTAGGTGTTTGCAAACAGAACAAGTCTCAAAAATGTCTAAAAAAAATTAAAACTGCTTTCAAATGCATTATGAGGTGGAGTGATGACAGTAAACATCAATTTATGAGTGAGAAGAGAACCATGCCCGTCACATCAAACCAACGGTTCAAGAAGAATGTTGTAAGTTGACATATAGGCAGCTGTAAATACCGGTAATTGTTAAATATGGTAAAAAATTGCAATTGTGGGATTTTGTCTAGATATGATGAATAAATACTTATGTAATAAAATCTGTGTCCTTCAAATGAAATGTCTAAAATTAATTCCAAATGAATGTTCTGAAGCACTTTTCAGAGCAGCAACAACTAACATTGATTCTTAGAAAAGCCTAAACTTTTTGTTAGTTTCCCTGCGTGCTATCAAAGCAATATTCAATACCAGCTGGGCAACCATATAGTTTGAGGTTAACTCCTTCAAGTTACATCAAGAAATCCTCATTAGAATGCCCTAAAAATAAGCTTCAAACTACATAGTTTTCCAGGGATTATCCTAAGTAGCAAGACAGATCCAGCCATATCTCTGGAATCGTTCATAT